TTACGATGTCTTGGTCTTCAGAGGAGCTCATTATTGTGGCGACTCTTAATGTGCCTGGCAGGCACATCACTTGGGTGCGAGAATATGGTGTAACCCCGGAGGTGTATTTGTCGCTCGCGAGTTCGATAGGATTGGCCCCGGGGTTAACTATGCGGCTAGAGGGGCCTAACTACTAGAGATTAATACTAAAGATTTATTAGACAAGCAGAGGTCTACAACCTACAAGACGACTACAAGAAATCTAACCTACAAGATGCATTAGAAAAGGAACAGCTATAGAGGGAGAGAAGAAATCTCATAGAAGAAATGAAATTCAGGGGAAAAAAAATGAGTCGGCCAACCATCCGTCCGTCCACTGCTTGGTGGCTAAGGTATTTATGTGAGCCCAAAATTAATTAAGCTCCAACTCTCTCGATCAAAGACATTATGCACAATTAATATCGCGGTATCATTTACAAATATGAAACAATTGTGCCTGGCACCAGTTTGCACAGCATCGTGTCAGCGTCGTTGTCGTTGTTGCCGCGTTGTTGACGTTATACAAGTACGATGTTGATAACCTTCTCGATATCCGGCGATAGAATAGTTATTACTGCACGTTGCCATTACATCCTTCGCTTCGGAGAAGATCCGTCTCGGATCTTGAGGAGCCGCTGTGCTTGCGCAACGAACGGCTAGAGTAATGGAGAGGATGTGGAGAGGGTTGGAGCTCTCTTTTTTTTTTGTTTTGATGTTGTTTTTTTTTGAAGCCCACCTAAAGGGCGAACGGATGATTTGTAATACAATCTAAATAATCTACAGCAAATATTGCAGAAAAAAAATGACAGGGAAATGTTGGACGCGAAGTTACTGTATCGCAGGGATACGGTAGTAAGGCGAGACGAGAATGACGTCATCAGATAGTGGTGGGGCCGGTAAGGCGATGATGACGTCATTATTATAGTGGAGTTGAGTCACTGGTCTTGAAGATGACAAGGCGAAAGGACAAGTTGATGAAATACATCGATCGTTGGATAATCCACTTTGGCATTGATCTTAGAACTAGCCGGCTCTCTGTAGGTCAGTTTTTCTTCTTATCTTCTTTTGTATTCTTCTTTTGTAAATGTATTGTCGGTAAGAGAGGCTTTTCTTTTCCAGCATGATCGTTGACAGGAGCTACTGCCCATTTCGTTGTTTCGACCGTGGAGTGTGTTACCAGGACTCCGGCTCCGTTTTTTGCATCTGTTACGAGGCAACTGAAAATAAATTTTGTGAAGACACCTCTGCTAATCACCCAGCTGAAGCTTCAGCCATTTCGGGTTTTAGCATTGGTGGGTTTTTTTTCTGTTCACGCAAAAAAAAAAAGAGGCAGCATTTCCTGTAAAAAGTTAAACTATGAAACCATTCTTTTCTCTTACAGCTGCAACCATCTTTTTCTTGTTGCTGCTGGCATACGCCGTGTGGCGACGTTACAAAGAATGGAATCAGTCGCGAGTGATTAGCCGCCATGCAAGAGGACATGCAACTCCTCCGGCTCCGAGGGAGGAGCCGCAGGCTCCGCCTGCTTATTCTCCTCGCACGGTGGAGCCTTCTGCTCCTCCCTTGGAGACGGCTATTTAACTGTCAATTTTTTTGACACCTTTTTTTTCTCTGTAATGGTACCCAAAAGGACAAAAAAACACCTCCCGGCTGATCAGCTTATTGTTTTTTTTAATCACCTCCCGCAATAAAAGAATTGTAGTTTTGTACATGTAAACACTACATGAATAATTACATCAAGCGTCCTTATAAAGCTTTGTCCTATTTACGTGGATAGTGCGGATTCGTTTTCCATCGCGAATTGTAACATTTGGTTTGCTTATCTCCAAAATTTCATAGGGACCCTCGAAACGATCTGCAATTTTTGATCCGACTTCTTTGCGGATTAGAATCAAATCTCCAATTTTATAATCGGCCGGATTAACACGTTTTCGAAGATCGTAGTGATGCTTCTGAGTAGATTGTGATGACTTAAGGTTTTCAGTTACGTGTTTCCATACGTTCTTGAGAATGGAAGTAAGTTGTTCTACATAGCTATCTTCGTCTAGATATCTCCTGGTAGGAAGATGTAGGGCTAGTCGGAAAGGGTTGTTAGACTCATATCCATGAACCAAGAAAAAAGGTGAATATTTGGTTTGCGAGTTCTCATTGCTATTATATGCGTGTGTTATTAAAAACAATAAGTTATCCCAAGTGTCAGTGTATTGCATACTGGCGATAGAAATAAGTTCTTCTAAAGTTCGGTTTGCTCGTTCGACTTGACCATTACTTTGATGGTGGTAGGGTGTACTTGTTTTATGTTCTACTCCTAACAACTTGAGGGTATTCTTGAAATCTTCGCTTGAATAGTTAGATCCTTGATCAGTTACTAGTAGATTTGGAGGGCCAAAACGCGCAACTAGTCTTTTTATGAAAATGTCGCAAGCGGTCAGCGCCTTTTGATCTGGGATTGGTTCGGCGATTATGTACTTTGAGAATGAATCAACAAAAACGATAATAAATTTGTTTCCATTCAAAGTTAGGGGAAGTGGTCCGATGCAGTCTGAATGTACTCGTTGCCAAGGTCGTGTAACTAATTTAAATAAACTCATCGGTTCTGTAATCCTGTACATAGCAGGATCTTTTCTGATTTGACAAAGCTTGCAAGTCGAAACGTGTGAAGTCACATCCTGGTACATATTATTCCAAACGGCGATTTTGGCCACTGCGCTATGAGTCTTTTTGATTCCAAGATGAGCCGTACCCAATTGGGAGGCATGTAGATTTTGGATTAATTTTTTTCCTACCTGAGTGTTTTCTGGGAGTACCAACTGAGGTTCTTGAGAAAGTCTGACTGGAATTTTATAGAGTATATTATCAAGAAGAAGATACTCTGATAATTCGGGTACGTCAGAGTTTTCGGTTAGGGCTCGCTTATAGTCAGATATCCATAGAGTTTCGTCTTGCTCTTTTCTCACGGCTTCCATTGAAATTAGGTTTTCATCCCTGTTGTCTATGCTAGGAATAGCGTTCACCGGCGGAAAACGAGAAAGAGTATCACAAACGATATTGTTTTTACCTGGGCGATATACAATATCGATATCATATTCTTGTAAAATGATTTGATACTTAGCTAGGCGTCCTATCAAGTCTTTACGATGTAGTAACGCTTTTAACGGCGCGTGATCTGTTATTACCGTGCATTTTGCACCATCAATGTATGGTCTAAATTTCTGTACGGCAAACACTAATCCTAGGGCCTCTAGCTCGATTGCTGGATAGCGAGCTTCTTGAGAATTCAAGGTACGGCTAGCATAAGCGATTACTTTTACCTCCCCATTTTGGTTTTGTTTTAGCACACCCGCTAAAGCTTTCCCTGAACTGTCTGTCTCGATTATGAAAGGCGTTCCAAGGCGTGGTGCTACTAGAATAGGTGCCGATGTTAGGGCTCTTTTCAGCCGTGTCATCGCATTCTGGCATTCTTCTGACCAGTGAAATGGAACATCTTTCCTAATCAGAACAAATAGGGGTGCGGCTATCGTTGCAAAGTTCCGAATGAAACGTCTAAAGAAAGAGCACATTCCAATGAAGGCTCGAACTTCCGACGCATTGCTTGGGCGTGGGTAGTTATTGATGGCTTTAGTCTTGTCGGGATCTGGTTGTATTCCTTCCTTACTCAATACAAAACCTAAAAATTTGATTTTGTCTTTTGCGAACTCGCATTTTGAAGGTTTAAGCTTCATTCCTATTTGCTCAATCTTAGTGAGCACTTCGTCTATATCTTGTAGATGTTCTCGCGGCGATTCAGATGTTATAATTAAATCATCGATGTATATGAAAACGCGCGCTCGGAGAAATCTTTTAAAATCCTCCATGATTCTTTGAAAGGTTGCGGGTGCACCCTTCAATCCCATGGGCATTCGTACAAACTCAAACGTGCCAAGAAAACAGGCGAACGCAGTTCGTTCACAATGCGACCGTTCTAGTGGGATTTGGAAAAATCCTTGCTCAAAGTCTAGGGACGTATAAAGACATTGGTTGGCACATAGGTCAACGATATCTTGTATATTTGGCAAGATGGATTGCTGAACTTTGGTAATGGCATTTAACCCACGAAAGTCAATAGTGAACCTCCAGCTATTTGCATCTTTCTTTCTAACCAGGACAATGGGAGCGCAGAAGGGAGAGTGGCTTTCCCTGATGATGCCCTCCTTCAGCATTTCTTCAATCTGCCTTTGAATTTCTCGTCTTTTCTCTAGCGGTACTCTATAGATTTTACGAGCAGGTATGTCCGCGTTTCTTACCAAGTCTATCCTGTGCCTGATGGGTCCATTGTAATGTCCTAGGTGTCCGTCTGGGCCAACGAAGGCTTTTGCATGTTTTCGTATCAAACCTTTGAGTGCTTCTAGGTCCCCTGATGCTAACACGCTAGCAGAGAAATCGATCTCATTGACTACGTCATAGTTAAGCTTCATTACGGGGAAACGTGGCATTCTTTCTTCCCAATCGGTTTCAGGTGGCACTGCCATTTTACGAACTGGATATCTCGAGTTGATATCTACGGCGCTCACTTGGGCAGTAGATTCAGGTAGAGGCGTAGCGGAGGCTATATTCATCCCTTGAAACAGATGTATATCGGTATACGAGGGGTTCATTATCAGAATGTTGCAAAGGCCATCGAACATTGGTGTTACCAAGGATCTTCCTACGACATAAAACTGAGGGTATTCTCTCAAGTTATCTTCTATAAGGAAGTCAAGAGGTCGAGTAGAAAAATACCCGTCAATTATAGCCGGCACGATGTTTTTAGATCGTTTTGGTAATAAGATATTGTTAGTCAGCCGAACTCTATAGCAAACTTGGTTAACATCCGATGTTCCATGGGGTTGCTTGTTGGACCCGGAAAGAGTATTGAGTTGTACCATCTTAACAGTCTTATCTCCCACAGTCAATGAGCTGTTGTGTAGATCGATGGTGAGCGCATGGCCAGATTGATTAAGCCTAGAGATGAAATCCGACCCTAATAAGATAGGCGCGGGGCAATCATGGTCTTCTGCGGCGTATAAGCCATGCAAAATTTCATACCCGTGCGCGATAGTTACCGTGAAGCAGAAAGGGCCTATCAATGGGACGTCTGTACCGTTGGCTGCTCTCGCGACAATTTTTGACACATTTTTCTTGTGCACATTAGCGCCTCTCTTCAGTAGTTCCGATTTGCGTCCATAAGAAACTGATGCTCCGCTATCTATAAGAGCTACTAGGGGCCGAAAAGGCTCGTTTGGAGGGCGTCTACAATGTCGAAGTTGGATCTCTATATAAGGTAGTCGATAGTGTTTGGTATTTCGATAGTCGATAGAGTATATCCGTGGCACGAACAGAAGTTCCTCCGTTGGGGAGGCTTCTTCTTGTACTAATACAGTGTTTATTTCGTGTTTGGATCTTTTGCCTTTCTTCTTTTCTTTGGTTGTGGTCTTCTTTCCTGAAAAGGAGGAGGCTAACTCAATCATTGCCGTTGCCGCAGTGCCTGCCGTTCTCCTCACCATATACAGTTTTATGTACAAGCAACAGGCGAGCACTAAGATTCCGATAATAATCAAGGGGATCAGAATCCATAGAAGGAAATAAAGGACAGACCATTTTATAGCATTAACCCCTTCCGATAATTTGGCAGTGGTAGCCTCGTAGATAGAACGGAGGCCGCGGCCGACCTTTCTACCTGCCTCTTGCGCATGTGAAAGCGCATCTTCCAAAAGACCCCTTTTATAGCGCAGATAATCTTGTGTAAAGCGACGTGAATCTTCTATGAACGTAGGAGGAGGGCCGAACAAAAATGGTCTAGCTTTCTGATTAATCATCATCATCGGGGATAACAAATGTTGGACATTATTAGTTTTGACGTTACCCATGAAAGGACAGGGAGTTGTTGAGGATTCTTGGACGAGATCCTTGGTTCCGGGGACGGAAAACCATAACTCACCGCCTTCTATTAACACGGGAGTCGAAGTGTAACAAGTGCCGTTCACTTCATGGCTTTCTATGATCTCGAATGATGTTATTGGTTTACATTTTGAAACGTAAAGCTCGTCATTCTCGACAGTTGCGGCGACATCATCGCGGTCCAACAGCATTCGTACCATCCATGTGGGGTCAACCAATCGGAATGCACGAAGCTGTCGTATTTCTTGGTACTGTCTTGCGCAGATGTTGTTGAAATCAATTCGCGCGGAGAGATCATCATTTGAGGTGGTCTGAGGGCTATTTCGAGAAGGCCGATATCTGGGTGACGGCGTGGTATCCTCTGCAGGCAAAGGGTGGAATCTGGTGCGGGAAGCCCGATATCTTGGTAACGGCGTGGTATCGTCTGCAGGCAAAGGGTGCAGTCTGGTGCGGGTTGGCTTAGGCTTAGGTTGTGTAGTCGATGTGGTAGATAGCATCGAATTTGCTGTTGTCTGGCGAAACAACGGAGGTGACGGTGTTGTTACTGGCACTGCTTTCAGAGGTGCATCGATTCGTCGCGAAGTCGTCCGTGGTAACTGAAAGGCATAGAATGGTGTTGCATCGACCGAAATGAGAGCTAGACGGGATTCTTCGAAGTATGGAAC